AGCGGGTCATCCTTGCTCCTGTCTCCCTGGAAAAGCCTGGGCTGTCTTAAGCTGTCAGGGAAATGACCGTGCTGTCTTCTGGCTTCTCAGAAAGCTCTCCTGCGCCATCTGGTAGAGGATGCCTCCACTTTGCCTTTGTCTGGGGGACTCCCACCCACTCTGGTGAATCATGGACATTTGAGCTCTGTGGGAGTCCCCCATTACTCACACAGCTCCCAGCTCCCCGTTTCTGATTATGTGACACCCGCAGGCTCAGACTAGTTCTTCAGTGACTCAAGCCCAGGATTTCCATCACTTCTTTGCTGGAGGAGTAGGTTTTTGGTGCGCTATTTTGTTGTCTAGCTCCCGATGATTGTTCCTTAGACCACCCCACAGCACTGCTTCCCCCAGACTCTGGTGGCCGTTCAGTAAACACACAGACTACAGGGCAGGAAGAAGTTATCTGACCCCTAGCTTGGCAGTCATGGAGCCAAATGACCAACATCTCAACTCCCCTACTGTCCCTTTGGAAGTTAATGATTCTCAAAATCTCTGTAGTCTTAGTTACCCAACAGAAAAAAAAAGGGGGGGTGTCCACAGAGCTGATTGATTTCTCATGGTCAGAGTGCCCTGAAAGTGTCAGGCTACCTGAAAAAGGCAAAGGGGCTATGGAAGGCAGTCTCAGGGCTGTGTTCCTTTGATTCTTTCATTCTGGAGGGAGTGGGTAGTGAAAGGAGGCGCAAAACTAATAAAGATTCAAGTGGATGCAGCCAACTAGAGAGGACAGTTCTCCCCATCCCCCACATTAGTTAGGCATTTCCAGCTCCAATCACCAGCAGCTGAAATGGGCAGGGCCATTTTCACCACCTATAATAGATACCCTGTGAGCAAAGAACTTCGTCCAGATCTAGAATGGTCGGTGGTTGTGAGGCTCGCATCAGGGACCGGAACATAGAGAGACCACGGCTCTAATGTGGTCCAGGTGATGAGGGAAGAAAAGGAGAAATGTGGTCAGAAACGAAGCTGGCGGTGGTGGGAAGGGAAGTGGCAGGACTGTCGTTAGGGCAGAAGGGAGAACAGGAGAAGGGTAGCAGAGAGCCCGTGTGTGGCTCTACGTCTCTAACCTCCGTTTCTCTTAACCATTATTTCTCTCCAGAGTCAGCAGTCATGCCTCCTATACGTTTCTCAGTTTTCCACCCAGCCCCATGGAGCCCTGACCACCCCTGTCCCAAACCTGTTGGGTAGCTGAGGGTAAAGGGAACAATCCTGCTTTGCTTAGAGTGACAAGTGGAGAAACATGTCCTTGGCACCCACCGCAGGACAGTCAGTGGACATCCTATCCTTTGAGAACGCCGTGAATTCACTGGCTCTGGTGGCCTGGGGCCAACTCCAAGCACCACAGATAACGTGGTTATGGAAGTCCCCAACCACCACGTGACAAACTTGAGGACTGCCTTGTGCGCTGGTGCTCTGAGAGGCGGGTGCTGCGCCCAGCCCTTCAGAGCTGCAGCGCCGTTCTGTTGATCTTTACTCCCCGGTTTGAGTTGCCTGGCTAGGACTAGGGGCATGCTTTCCACTGGAGAGAACCATCCATAGCCTTTTGGAGAGAACCCAGTTATTGTGTTAGTGAAATATGCTGCCAGGAAGGAAAGTTGTAGCAGCCGATACTTCCAAAGACATAAATGCTCAGAAGTGGTCTCTTTTCAGTGCTTTTCTGTGGAGTGAGGCACACAGCAGGGCAGGGAATGAGGCTCTCTGAAGCCCGCACTGCTTGTAACGGGCGGATGGAAGTCTCAGGAGCACAGGATCTTCTTTATACCCAAACTGTTTGATAGGTCCCCACTCACCTCTTAGGTACCACTCAGGATGGTCCCTACAGAGCTCAAGGATTGCCTCTCCCCCTCCCACCTCCCTCTGGATCAGGGTTTCTCTGCTCGGGAGGTGGGGGGGGGTCCTCTAGTAGAGGGACCGGGTACCTTGGGACGATCTAGGCCAGGTAGTTAAGAAGACAGTTGATTCTGTTTCCAGATGTGTTGGGGAGGGCCCCTGAAATGAAAGGAAGCCTCTCTAAGCTGATAATGGATGATACTAATTAAAACTTGACAAACTGGGGGCAATGAAAAGATGGAGCAGTTCCTCTATGTGTTACACTACAGCTGCAGCCAAACAGCTCCGACTTCTGGCTCAACACAGCAGGCCAAAGCAGAGAGAACGGTGTGTGCCGTACGCAGAAGAACTTGTTCATCCAAGATGTTTTGCTCCTTTCTTTGGTGAAAAGATGTGGCATATGATTACAAAAATCTAACTGCCCTGAAAAGGAGTCGCTTCCTCGCTTGATTCCCCACCCGCGCCCCCGGCCTGTGCTCCCCGGGGGGATGATGACCAGAGGGGCTGTGGTTTAGATCAGAAGTGTGATCCAGTGGCCAGGAACTCCGTGCCCTCGGGGCACGGTGCATGCGCCAAGGTGGAGGTTCAGGGCATATGGAAGGGGATAATGTTCAAGTCATAAAGGAGAGAGCGTGAGCCGGGGCGAGAGGCATCAGGCTGGACTTTGGAGGGTTACAGAGCAATCCAAGGAGACAGAAAATGCAGCTGAGTCCCTACCAGCAGGTAAGGGAGGAAACATAACATTTTCCTCCATGCCATTTAAGAGGCCTCTCTTGGTGTCTTATATTCCATCCTTGGCCCCTCAACCCCTGAATGGGAGAGGATGTTTGTCAATTAGAAGCAAAGGAATAAAAAAGTCATTTATAGGGCCCAAGGAGGATTAAACATAAGACTCATTATATAATAAATTGATTCCCTGCATTCAGGGAATTAAATCATGCCTGTTCCCATCCCCGTGGAGGGGTGAGGTCAGGACCTAGTGATGGATCTTGGAGATGTGGAGAGGATGGTCACGACAGGGCTGAAAAGGGTGAGCTTTCTCCTCACCCCCGAGGGTGTGTTCCCCGTGGTCCCCCAACTCACGGGACAAGGATTAGGCGTAGTGACAATTCCTAAGGGCACCAAAATGTTTTGATACACACAGCCTTGTGAACTGAATAGCAGACATCCTACCGCTTGTACTTGGCGTGGCGCAGCCTGGTGACCGCCACCTGGGCTGGGTTGGCAACAGCGACTCAGTTTTGTTGGGTAATCATCGTAGTACTGGTAACACAACCAAAGCAACCTCGGCAGTATCTGCCACGTGCCAGGGGCTGCGCTAGAAGCTCCACCTACATGATCCAATGTGACCCCCCCACTTCCCTGCACAATTAGCATTTCAGCCCCCACTTCGTATCGGAGGACCCTGAGACCAAACGGTTGAACAACTTTATATGATTTGAACTCAACCTTGGTCTAATTCAGAAACTTCTAACTGTGCATGAAAGTCAAGCAGAAAATTGTTGGAGGTGTGCAGCTACCTGAGAGAAGCGAAAACGAATTTGAATGCGCGGGGAGATTATTCACGGCAGGTGTGAGAGCTCCAAGCTCTCCCCTGAAGCGGCAGGATAAACTTCATCATTTTTGTCGTCCACAGTTGAATTGGACACATTTCTACAAAAAGAGCCTAGGTTGCAGGGAAGTGCTCAGATGGGGAAGGAGGGTAGTGGTGGTTGGAATGGGCTGGGGTGGACAGTGGAGACCAGGGTCTGCCTCTCCTTCCTGGCCTGTCAGGAGTGAGGCACACTCTAGATCATTCTAGATTCTGAGTGCCTGCTGAGGAAAGGGAGATGAGAGAAAAAGCTCTGGAAGGGTTGGAATGATTGTACCGGTGCTCTCCGATACATAACCTGGTCCAGTGTGAAAATGACTCAGGTGCACTCAAAGCTTCAATTAAATTAGGTGGAGGGAGAGAGGGAAGTGGGACAGTTGCTGGAGGAGCACAGCCAGCTCCTCCCTGGGCGGGGACAGCCACACATCCGCCCTGCCTAGCGCGGGAGCCCTTTCCTTCTGAAGTTCCCGCAAGCCCGCAATTGCACCTGACCTGCCTTGGGCATCACAAAGCCCTCTTGCATCTGACATCAAAAGCGCCTCCCCCTCCAGCAGCCTTCACTCTTCCTTTATTTTCTAGGCTTTACGATCAGTGGGCTCCCTTCTGCTCTGCTGAGATTATGGCCAAATGCTTCTGTTTGTCCATGCACATTCTTAATCTATATCAGTTCCCCATCCTTCCACCCGCCGTGGGAATGAGGCCTGAGGGACTGGAATTGGGGGCGATGTCTCACACAAGCAGAAGGCACGTTTGGTGGTCTCTCAAGCCGCCTCCTTCTAAAAAGCCCCCGGAACTGTCATACTGAGTCGTAGGATATAGAACCCTCTACCCCCAGACCAACAGCAAAGTCCCAACCGCGACACAGCCCACAGGCTCAGGTGCAGTGATACAGGTGTGAAATGCCCCAGTAGTAGGTGACCAGACCATTAAATTGGAATTAGGCTGTTATCATTATTGAGTACCGAACAGCATTATTATAATAGATGTTGTGGCTCTCACATTTTATATCTCATCCGGGATCAAATTAGTAGCCTGTTCAGTCCATGGGTGTTGAGTAATAGCTGGAATTCTGCGGAAGGCATCCACTTCTGTTGAAATAGCTGGGTGAGCAGTTTGACAGCAGCGTGGACACTTCCCTAGTGGAAAATGGAAATTTATGTGACCTTGTTGCACAGAGACCTGAAAATTATAGCTCTCAAGGGCCTTTTAAAAGTCAAAGTCCTACTTTTGGCCCCTAAAACACAAACAAACTAAAATAATAACAGTTATCATAAACTTTTCTTGTTTTGAAACAGGCTGCATTAGAGGGATGAGCATATAAATACCTCAGAGGCAGAATTATTTCCATTTAGATGTATGTAAATAGACAAATAGGCACCCGGGGAACTGGGCTACCTAAGTGTTTTCAGGAGTTTATGATGGTTTTTTTATGGCAACTCCTCCTGGTTTCAGCAGATCATCCACCTGTGTGGGAAAGCGGAATTATCGTGTTGGGTCTGACACTAACCTCTCCTTTCCCTTTTGTGTTCGGCTTTCTTTTCAGAGCTTTCATCACTCCCAAGCTCTCAAAAAGCCAAGATGTTGGTGTTACTGGCTGGTATCTTTGTGGTCCACATTGCCACCGTCATCATGTTATTTGTTTCCACCATTGCCAACGTGAGTCGTGTTCTTTAGCACATCTGTTCATTCAGAAGTTACTTGAATATGTATGTAAAGTGCTACAAAGGAGGTTGAAGCCACAGTCCTTGCCCTTCGTGAACTTACAGCTTGGTCGTGGGAAAAAACAAACACACACTTGCACTTCAAACAACCAAGTAGCAAATGTTTACAGGAGTGATCCCGCCAGGCTGGGGAACGGAGTGAGGCTCCTCAGCAGAGGGGGAGCTTGGAGGGTGGGTAGACGGGCGTGGCTTCTCTCTGCTAAAGATGCGGGGGGAATGGATGAGGGGGCTGCAACCCAGCCAGGCGTGCCAGCCAAGGAGCCCAGGTGACAGGGACAAACTATGTTCAGGGCATAATGAGGACATTCGTGTGGCCGGAGCAGAACTTCCTTTCCTTCTGGGAACCTTGATTAAAAGGATAGATGGGGATGAGAGACTTTGGTGGCCTGACCAGCAGATTCAAGTTCTGAGCAGAGAGCAGCATGTGAAAGTGGAATCTTGCAAGATTAGCCTGGTTGCCCTGAATTAACTCAAACAAAAGCCACCAAAAAATAGGAAGGTGCCAAGTCTCTTCTCTTTGAACCTTGGGCTACTCTGACCTCTAGTGGTAGTTTGCAGTGTTCCTTTTATTGTGCTGCTCTCAGGAAAAAAACAGGGCAGCTCCTTGGACCTAAAAACCAAGGCTGCCCATCACTAGACAGACCAAGATGGCTCCAGAATCTGTTTAGGTCCCTGTTGCAGTTGAAGGATAAACGGGTTTTAAAGTTCAGGTGGAAGAGTTTTGCCAACATGGGTGGGTGTGATTATAAGCAGGGCTAATGTAAGCATTACCAGGATGAGACAGAACCTTCCCCCCATGTGGCCCCTTCCAGACTCATTTAGCCATTCTGTATGCCAACCCCCAAGTCTCTCAGGGTAACATTTCTGATAAATGACTTCAAACTGTATTAGTGGATACCAAGGGCTGAATGTCTGAATTATCAGCCTCTAATATGGGGCTTGGCACACAGCTGTTTACTGAATCAAGAGCAGGCAGGCGAGCTGACACCCTGGGTCTTGCTTTTCCAATAACTGTGTTTTAACGGACACTCTGTGTGGACAAGGCTGGGTGTTTGTTTTCCATTCCACCCACTCTTTTCTCACTTTTCTCTTGGGGCTTTTGTGACTTCAGTTTTAGTGGGACCTTATTTCCACCAAGAGAAGGGCTGCTGAGCCATACGGTATCATATTTAAGATTCAGTCCTTTTGAAGAGTATTTGAAAAAAAAATTTTAAATTAATAAACCCATGGTAAAAATATATATTTAAAACACTACCAGTAACAGTATTAGAGATAATTTTGACAAAGCCATGACTAAAGTACGTGAAAATGTACCAAGAATAATTATTCAGGTTATGTTAATTTTTAAGCAAGATACTACGTTTTTAAATGTTGCTTTAATAAACATTGGGGAGAAAATTTTGGTTTTGAAATAATTCTTGAATATGATTATTTTATGTCTACAAATTAATTTAATTTGTCCCCTAAAAAAAAAGAATTGGTCCTGACACAGGCTGATCTGTCGTTTCTTTTTCTTGTAGAGCAGAGGATCTGTTTTTAAACAACTTTTTGTTTCTTTCTGATTTCAGGTCTGGATGGTTTCAAATAACGGAACAGTATCAGTAGGTCTTTGGAAAAACTGTACTACCGATAATAGCTGCCAGGGAGACCTGTCATATGGCGGTGAAGGTATACACAAAGATGTTGTACTCGGGGCTGGCAGTTCGCGCTCAGGGAGAGACAGCCCCTTGGGGACTGGTTAGCCTAACACCCTCCCTCCCTCCCGCCCTGTGTCCACAGACGCCCTCAAGACAGTGCAGGCCTTCATGATCCTGTCCATCATCTTCTCCGTCATCTCCCTCGTGGTCTTCGTGTTCCAGCTCTTCACCATGGAGAAAGGCAACCGCTTCTTCCTCTCGGGGGCCACCATGCTGGTGTGCTGTGAGTATCAGTTTACACTGAAAAAAGCTTCCACGTAGATCTGAGCGTGGATGTTCAGCTTCAAGAGCTGAGCACATGCTGCTGCGAAATTGCCTTACACAGTTTTCTCCTGTGGTTCTTTGTACTCTTTTTGGAGAACCCCTGATAGTTGCTTGGAATAACAGCCCTTATCTGCTTCATTGTTTAAAGCTGGGGCTCCAGGGCGACTATCCCTGCCCATCGGTAGCTTGTATACCAAACACGTGAAGGGGTGGGAACGTGGGGGTCCTTAGATGAAACCACTACCACGATGCATGCGATGAACGCAGTTTGTTGAAAGGCTGTGTTCTGCACCCCCGGGGCAGCCTGCCCTCGAGCGCTGGGGCTCAGTCGGGAAAGCCAGGTGGTGGACCTGAGAGTCTGGGTTTTACTTTATAGACACAAAAACCAGTGCCAATGTGAGAACCCAAGTACCTCTGATTTAGCAACACAACCATCGAGCTTGGTTCAGGGCACACTGTTGGGGGCTGAGCAGCCAGATTTCATTTTCCCCTTGCCTGTGAGGGAAATAGGCTCTTTCTAAAATTATAAAATCTTTTCCTTGGTCTTAATGTTAAAAAGCCAAACCAACAGCTAACCATTTTCTCCCCCTCCTGCAGGGCTGTGCATCCTGGTGGGCGCCTCCATCTACACGAATCACTATGCCAACGGTTCTAAAACCGGAGTGCAGGAGAGTCACCATGGCTATTCCTTCATCCTGTCCTGGATCTGCTTCTGCTTCAGCCTCATCATTGGCTTTCTCTATCTGGTCCTGAGAAAGAAATAAGGCTCAGCCATGAATGGGGATCTGGGGGGTGGGGAGGAGGGAGCCGTTGAATCTGGGAGGGAAGTGGAAGTCGCTAAGCAGGAAAAACCAAGAGAGGGAAGCGGGTGGGGGAGGGGAAGAAAGAGGGGAGGGGCGGAAACCCAAACGTTGCTGAGCGGGGCCTGTGCTGTCCAGCCCCCGACCTGGGAGAAAGCCGGGGGCTAGGACGGATGCTCCCATGATGCGAGCCAGAGGGCCTCCCTGGCTGTTCTGTTACACACACTGCCTGGGGCCCCACAGCGGCCACGTCTCGGGCTCCACTTCCGACGGTGAGTTCCGGGTCTTGCCCTGCAGTCCTCAGACCTCCTGGCCCGCGTTAACCTAGTGGTACAAGGTCCGGCAAGAGCAGATGTTTTTGAGCGGAGGATACTAAACCTGGGAGCCACCCTGCCCTTCTGACCCAAAGCAGAACATCACAGCGCAGTGTGAAGGGGCTGCAGGAGGCCCGGGGCCAGCGAGCCGTCATCCCTCCACACAACAGACAGTCAGCTCTGTGGAAGTCAGCGGTATTTGTGACAAAATGGAAGGAAGGGAGGTCTTGATTAAGGCCAAGTTGGTGGGTTAGCCAAACCGAGAAAGACAGCTTTTCCCAGTGGAAGGCCTGGGGCACGATCAGGGCCCAGACTGCTGTCCCTCGTGGAGACCTCTTGCTGTGGACTTTGCTAGGCCTCTTGCTTAAAGCCAAGGCAGCTCCCTGAAGTTTCTGTAAAGCCAGTAACGACCAATTCAGTGGTGGAAGCACCACGCAAGTTACGGGACAAGGGGCGCTCTCGCAACAAGGCTATATTAGGGTTATGTTTTTAGGATCCCCTCTCCGTGCAATCAGTGTTTGTTTTAAGTACCTAACGTGAGACATAGCTCCTGGTAACACAATCTGTTACTCTCCCTCTAAATTCTACACTTTTGAGGAAGTTTTATCCAATTATCCATGTTGGGGATCAGGGCTCCTGGGCTCAGAGACAGCTGTCGCTTTGGCATGAGCTGGAGCGGTCATCTTCCAGGGGTCCTGCCCAGCGCACAACACAGGTGAGGCAGGGCAATTCCGGAAGCTTCTTAAAACACATGCAAACCAAAACCAGACAACAGATCGTTGGGTGAAAGGTGCTATATAATTGTCAAGTATTAAACATTCTAGATTTCAGTCACGATAAGAACAGAGTGTACTTCCGGGAAAATAAGACAATTTCCATGAGAGAAATTAAAACACAGGTGATGGGAAGATATTTTCTTTAAGAAAAAAAAATTACCCCCTAACTCTTGTGGTGCCCAGTCGGATGGTAATTGAGCTTGTCTGTTTCCGCAAGAGTGTTTCTATACAGGACTTAGAAGAATGTAGTGTGGTTTTCCTGGTCAAGAAGGCTCTGGCCTGGTGCAGCTATCTTAAGCCATCTCAGATTCTGCCTGGAGGGTTTTATTTTTGGGGGGAAGACATTTCCCTTCTCAGTCTGAGAAGATCTACCCTAGGGAGAACCTGAGACATCTTGCCTACTTTGTTTCTCCTAGCTCCCTTCTCCTCCCGTTTCTTATATACTTTTCCTTCTGCCACGGTTGCTGGTATTTATGTAAAAGGACTATTACTAAGTATCTTTCTTTATGTTCGTTCTGGTTAAGGGAATGTTGAGGGCAGACCACCAAATTGTTTGGGCTCGGGTTAAGCGGTTGGCAAGCAAAACTTGTCAGATGATGAACTTTAAAATTATGATTTAATGATCACGTGATTATAGAAGGTTGTCTTATGTGCAGAAACGGGCTTACATATCAGATATATCCAAAAGAGATACTAGCTTTGTGTTAAAAAGTCAAACAATGCTGGAGTGAACTATGTATTCCCTTGTCTTTTACTTTGTTTCTGTGACATTTATGTTTCATGTAATTTGCATTACGTTGGTGGGTTGTTCTAGTACTGTATTTGGCTTCTTCTTTAATAGATCGATATTTCATATACTATAATTGTAAATATTTTGATACAAATGTTTATAACTCTAGGTATATAAAAACAGATTCTGATTCCCTTCACCATGTGAATGTTTTCTTTCAAAAAAATGTAAGAACAATATGGCTAATAACTGTGTTTATTCCAAATCGAGTTGTCAATCAGTTTGATTTGGACAACTTGGCATTTATCTGAGACATGAAGCTACTTTCTGGTAATACATTAGGCATTTCTACAATAACTCTTTCAGACAACTGAATGTTACTAAGTATAGTTTTATCTTTAATTAAACCTCTTCAGCAAAAAATGGAACTTCATAAGCTGATCCATTAGAGAGAGGCTATGATCTTGAATCAGAATGGCTTGTGACATTAAGAAATGAAATACTTGTAAATTTTCTTTGAAATAATCAACTCCTCTAATGTGTCTTCAACATATAAAGCAATTCACAGAGGCATACATCACATACATTGGCAGGAGCCCATTCGTTGCATAAACTGGGGCATATGGGCTCTAGGAGAGAAGGAAAGCTTTAATGCTTTCTGGGCTCAGTAAAGGCTGGAATCAAGGGTGGAAAGCAGGGTAGGTGCTGTGAACCCCAGCATCCTGTCAACACCAATATGATAAGAATGGTTTTAATGTGGACTGGGTAATCTTTCAGTCCCCTGTGGTCTTGGATGAAATAACTGCACAGAGCAATGCACAAAAGAAGACACAATGGAGCCTGAAAATAAAACCTCAGCATATTCTTAAATTAAATTAGTCACATTGCATTGACTATTGATAGCCTCTCAGGGACCCACATGATTCCTTAGATTGCTTCTGGGATACTAGTGTAGGAGGCGACTCCTCCCCCACATCATATGCCCAGTCAGGATTAGACTTCCAAAGCATCCCCTTCTTCCTCTCTGCCTATGGGTCTTTAGTTAGAATCTCCAACGAACTCCCAGCCCTGCTAAGATGGAATCTTCCACCTCAAAGCCCTGGATGGTGAATGGGGAGACACAGAACCAATAGGATGGATATATGGATCTCTATATCTCTATCTATCTATCTATCTATCTATCTATCTATCTATGGAGAGAAATATATTTTGATGAATTGGCTCATGTGATTACGAATGCAGGCAAGTCCATAATGTGCAGGGAGGGCTGACCGGTTGGAGAGTCAGGGAAGAAACCAATACTGTAGTTCAAGTCCAAAGACTTGTCTGCTGGCAGAATTTTCCCTTGTTTAGCGGAGGTCAGTCTTTTGTTCTATTGAGACCTTCAACTGATTAGATGAGGCCCACCCACATTATGGCAGGTGACCTGCTTTCCTTAAATTCTACTGACTTAAATGTTGATCTTATCCAAAACACCTTCGCAGAAACATCCAGGATAATGTGGGCACTGTGGCCCAGTCAGGCTGACACTTAAAATTAACCATCATTGGTGGGGGTCTAGCTTATTAAGCATTTTCAGAAGTGATTTAAAAGAAGCTTAAACAGTGGAAATCTTTATGTTTACAGCTGACACGTAGCTCTTTTAAGTAGCAAAATAGTGACACATGGGAGTTAACTTGCAGGGTGATGTTGGCTGTCCTATGAAGACAGAAAATTGTCAGAGTTCTTTTAAAAGGAGGAGCTTAATGTTGAACTTAATGTCTTAGGTAGAGTCAAACTGAATTGAAGTGGTTAAGTAAATACTCGTAGGTGAAATGGGTCCAACTTGTAAGTTTAGGGAAAATAAACTACAGAGCCCTCCGCGCCCACTTAAGAATGGGCCCCCTTATTCAAGGTGATAAACCTGAGGTACCAACGGTTCACAGGCAGCTACGCCACTCTGCTTTGGACTCAACTATTACAATCCCTGTGCAAAACTTCACAGTTTCAGACACAGAAAAAAATTTCAGAAAGGCTTTCAAAGAAGGCCTGTGAAAATTAAGAGGAGATTGCGCCGTGGTTCTGCAGGGGAGGCTTGGTGCTGGGCCCCTGGCTCCCAGCCTGCCTTCCTTACTGTGCACTTCTGGGCCCATCCGTCATCACGAGGGACCTTGAGTGCCTACAGGTGGAGACCCCTGCCCACACATCCAAGACCAGCCCTCACCGCTTCCCCCTCCTGCAAATGGCTGCCCCTCAGCCATCCCAGACCACCCGTGGCATGGTCTGACCTCTGAGTGGACGGGACCTGAGAGGAGGCTCAGGGGAAGGTGGCCTAGAAATGAGGTTGGGGATGTTTGGGCAGGGAATGTGGGGTCCTGGATAATCAGAATATAATCTGGAAGGAGAGTGTGGGCTCCACTGGGCATGCTCCTTTGGCTCCAAGCCCAAGGACTTCTTATCCTTGTAGGGGTGTGGCTGGAGGAGGGTCAGAGCAGAGCTGTAAAGCACAGGCCTCGGGAAGGCCCTCTCACCAGGTCTCAGGGCAGTGGTTTCACAGCCTTACTCCTCACTCACTATTGTCCAGCCTCCCTCCAGCCCATCTGCTTCTGCCCTCCCCACTCCAAAGCGAAGGCTCTCCTAAGGATCAACAGTCACTTTAGATTCCCTAGCCCAGTGAATACTCTTTTTGGTTTTTTTTTTCCCCTTGATTCCCTCTTCATTTTATCTCTGTACTCTGCATGGGTGACTCAGTTAAATTCATATAGTTAATCAACACTTATCTTGTAAGGATTCCAAATTCTGCATTTGACTCAGACCCATTTTCTGGATCCAGTCCCACAAGAGCCCTGAATTCTACAGAACACATTACGTTCCTCCCCCTTGCCTAGTCTCCAGAAATAACAACCTGTCACTCGGATGCACAGACCAGAAACCCAAGCGTCATTCACCATTCCCCACTTTCCCTCATTCCTCACGTCTAATTAGTAACTGTATCTTGTTGATTTTAGCTTCTAAATATTGCTGGACTCTTTCCCTTTCTTTCTAACCCCTTTGCTATGATATAGTTTAGACCTTTAATGGCATTTATTTAAAGTAGCTGAATAGCCTCCTAAGAATTCACTGCTATCACTCATTTTCCACTCTTTTGCAAAGATGATTGCTTAAAATGCAAATGCGATCATGTCCTTCCTCTGCTTTCAATCCGTCAGTGGCATCTTCGTGTTGTTCATGATAAAACTCAGAATCCTAAACTCGTCCATCTTCCTCTATCCTTCTGTCCTGGAGCTAAAATGTCCTGCTGACTCTATGCTTTTGGGAGTGTTTCCGCCCACTATTCCGTTTTCCCAAAGATCCTTCCTTTGTCTGGTATCTGGCCCCCCTCTTCTGATTCCTCAAGAGTCAGCACACTCCTCATCTCTGCAAGGGGGGCCAGACTACCCCAGGCCCTCCTGGGTGCCCTTCATCAATGTTTACGGAACTGCCTTGTGAAATGCCGTCGCAATGTTTTTTTCACAAACTATTTTAATTTTGGGTTTAATTGCGCCACTCCCTCCCAAGGCTGTGAGCACCGCAAGGTGAGGGAACCCATCTTTCATTTCTTTACGTTTAGCACTCTGCCTGGCAGTGAGCCGATGTTCAGTATGATGGTGTGAGAGGTGCCAGGGAAGGTGCTGGCGGATATCACAGACCCTGACCCCACGATATTTACCGTCTAGGGAGAATGAGACTGGTAGTTCCAAAGCTGGTGCTGCGTAGTTAATGCTGATTGATGCTGAGAAGGAAGTAGGGAAAGATGCCCATAGGCAGGTGTTTAAAAATCTTTTTAGGGTCATCAAATTTGATAAAAGCCATCTCTGCAAAAATGTACACACACACATTTTTTTCCTTAAAGATCAGGACACTCACAAATTCCCCCAGAGCCATCCATGGATTTCCTAAGTAATCCACCCCTTAGAGCTGGGTTAGAATGGCCCCTGCCTTAGAGCAATCTGCCTGGCCCTCATCTAGCTGTGCTCCATGACCTCATGTGTCTCAGGAGCTTTTAAGATGAACCTGAAGTGTGGGTAGAATTTTGGAAGTTGTGCATAAGGAGGAAGAGGGAAGCTAGCTCAGAAACTGGGCTGAAAAAAGCATGAATGTGGAGAAGCTAGCTGGAGAAAGGGACCTCTTTGGAAAGGTAGATTGGGGTCTCTGCTGCACAAAGTCCTGACTCCCAGAGTTAGGAATTTTACACTGATTTGGTAGGATCATGGAAAGTCAATAAATGTTTTTGTTTTTTTTTGGTGGGGGGGGTGGCATGACATAATTGGAATGTGCTCTGAGAGGATGACTTTGGCAGATTATAGAATGGGTCCTGGGGAAGAGAAGGAAGATGGGAGAAGGTGGGAAGCTGCTGCAGTGGCTGAGGAGAGAAGGAGAACTGAAGAAACTGGACAAAGTGGATGGGGCAGGAGTGGAAGAGACTAACACAAAAGACATGACTTAGACGCCACGTGACTTAGCAAGAATTCAAGGAGAAGGCAACAGAGATTATTCTGACGTTACATACTAGATGCTGGGAAACGAACCATGCTGCTAATGAAACAGGAAAGCTGGAGGAAGAGTTAATTTGAGGAGGAAGATGATAAGCTTGGATCTGGACAAGCAATGTACAAGGGGCCAGCTGGACATTTAGGAAGCTCTCCCACTCAACTCGAAAGATGTTCTAGGGTAATTTTGAAAGGTTCCATTCTAGAGTGGTCCTGGAGGTCTCTGAAGGACCCCAGAATATAAACCTCCTAGGAGGCTGCATATTCGCCGAGCTTACTCCAGATAGCTGAGCTTTTCTGGGCACATTTGTCATCTTGGGTCAATTCACTTGGGACTGACCCTTCTTGTATCTATTTTAATTCAGTTGTCACTTGTTTTAAAATTTACTTTTAAAATATTTTATTGCCCAATTTAGCTTCCTCAAATTAGCATCATATTTTCTCATTATGTTGGTCCAACTTGGATCTTGTAGCCCCACAGGGAACAAGGCAGCTAGGGGCAGGGGGGTGGTCATGGAGGATGTGGCATGGATCTGGGGCACACTTTGAGTTTTAATTTGGTAACCCGCGAAACTTGTTGTTTAAAAATATCTGATTTGCTTAAAAATGGTTTTCAAAAATGTTGCCTTTTACAAACTTCCCCTTTTGAACATGTTTAACATCTGCTTTTGTTTTTAAAATATTTGTCCTT